GTTCCCCCACGACAGGCCCCTCGGCCCCACGCCGCTCACCTGGCAGGAGCGAAACTGGCTGACGAGCAGTGTGCACCGTTGCGGGTCCTTCCGCCCGTCCAGACTGTCCAGCTCGGCGGCCACCTGGTTCAGCTCCTCGTCCGCATAGTAGAACTGGGCGAGCAGCTGTGGGTCCGACCTCTGCGGGGGGGAGAGAGGCGCCGGCGTGAGCGGGAGCATCACCGTTCCCGGGCCCCACACCCCTCACGGAACCTGGCACCTGTTCTGACTCCCTCTGCATCTCAGCCCACTTCTCAGGAGGCCTTCCCGGCAGCAGGGGTTCAGGGAGGGTGGGGTGTAGGGATCAGAGGCAGAGCAGAATCGGCTCTTAACAAGGGACTTGCTCCTAAAACGAGACTACAGTGGCAGCCGGTGAAGGACGCAGGTCTGACCAACACCCCACAATTTCCTCAAATGAAGCCTGACGGACCGTGGCGCCATAAGTGGTTGCCATCCGCGAATCTGTTCTCTAGAACCTTCTCAGCCCTCAGCCCGGCTTCCATCCCCCAGAAAATGCCAGTGGTCTGTGGCAGGAGGCCCCTCACCCCCACCCCTGCTCTCCTGACGGGCTGCCGACCGCCCTGAGCGCCCTGGCCGCCCCCGCCACCTCTGCCCCGGCCTGCGACCTTCTCCTTCCACACACCGGCCTCAGGGCCTCTGCACTGCAGCCGCTCTGGCCTGAGGCAGGAAGGATCTGAGTTTCCAGGATCAGGAGAAACCCAGAGCAAAAGCGATGACGCCCTCGGAGATACTTTCAGAAGTGGTGGCGTTCACGATCGTGCAGAGAAAGAAAGGAGAGGGCGAGACCACAAACCAGGCAGGCGTTCAAAGGTGCCGGGGGACCACACGCACACACACTCACAGCACAGTCAGCACAACCCACTCTTCATCCTCACGGAGTTAGCACACGGTTGCCTGTCCCCTGATGCTGTTAAATGCAGGTAACTTACTGTCCCAATCTTCGGTGTCCCATCTCGGGGGTCCTCTCGGCTCTGGCGTTCCATCCCCTCCCCTGTGCGGCCCGCCGGCTGGCCTTTCTTCGGCTCAGGGGTCCGGGCCCTTCAGTGCCTGACTCGGTCAGCTCTCGAGCTGGCCCGGGGGGAGACCCCATATGAGGCAGAGCAGACCCGCGGGCGGGGGCGCCCAGCTGCGGTGCCTGCCTGGGGGCGGGGGGGGGG